TTTTCCATATACATAGCATGTTAGAATATGCATTGGCTGGTGCTTAATGAAATGGTCAGACGTTGCCTGGACACTGTCTCATGCCACTGAGAGCTTGCCAGGTGAACCTTGTGTGTGCATTCGTGCTTGATCCCTTCATTAAGCTCCTGCCGGTCCTAATTTTTGTGTATGCATGTTAGATGTCTGTTCAAGTAGGTATAAGCAAAGTGGTCCCAGGATCGGCTCCAATGCTTTGTAATTTGTTTGTGTGTTTGTGTGTGTGCACGTGTTGGTAGTATATGTTTGTGCTGGCGGTCAGAGAGGGCGCCTGGGAGGACTGGTGTTTGATTGGCGCATGCCGCCGAGATCTGCTCCTTCCTGTTAGCATACGCATCACTTCCTCTCACCCTGCCCAGAGCTACTGCCTCGCCATCTCACAATCACTCTGACATGATTCCTTTCCTTCTCCTTATTTTTTCTTCTTCTTCTTTTTCCTCTTCCACCCTCCTTCATGCCTCTTCTCTTGTCTCTACTGTCCTTCTTACTCATTGCGTCGCTGTCCATCATTGGTTTAAATGCCTCCTGATTCTCTGGTCCCATCACTCCTTTTTTAAAACTTTTTCTCTTTTCTACATTTCTTCCCATCTTACCATAGTACTGATTTCCCCTAAAGCCCCTCTCACTTCACTCACTCTCCCTGTTGACTCTCAGAAGGCCACTTTTGTTTGAACAGCATGACTGCCATTTCATCATCTTCATCTCCCATTTCTTCACCTGTTACCCCCTCAAAAAAAATCAACACTTTCCGCAACCTATTTATCTTTCTCTATATTCAGTCTCAAAGCAATCGCTTACCCTCGTCCCTCTCTTCCTCATCCCCTTCTTTCCCTCCTCCTCAGCTGCTCTCCCTGAAGACAGAGCAGGGGCAGCCAGGCAGAACAGCCAGCATGTTCGCATGTTCCCTTACTCCAGCTCTGCGGCTGCAGCAGCACTCTTAAACCTCTCTGCTCTCGCCTTACACCACCTCCCCTTCACTCCACCCTACATGCTTTCCTTACGCATTCTACACAGCATTCTCTTTGTGACTTTTTAATTTCTTGTGTCTTCTAACTTTGTTAATTTTCCATTCACCTCCTTCCTTCCCTCCTTCCTTCCTTCCATTATGCTTCACTTCACCCTGAGCCTCCATTCATTACCCCTCCAGGCTTTTCTCTGGCCTTACCCATCTCCTCTATCTTCTCGCACCCTTCTTAACATTCCTCGAGGCCATTTGTTTCTCTTCCTGTCTCAAATCTTCATTTCATTCCCGTTCTACTTCTATCATTACCATGGCTTATCAGCTTTCTTCTTTCCTTTCATTCTGATGGTCTTGTTTTATTTTTATGCACCCTGTGATTCCCATCATCTTTTCATTGCTTTCTTCAACACTTTTTGTTAGTGTGTTCACATGTGTTCATCCTGCCATTTTCTTGCTTTGCCCATCAGCCATGGCAAATCATGTAGAGAAGAGTTTTGTGGTAAGACTGGCTTAGTTTAAAAAATAAGTTAGACATTTTCAGTTAAATAAATAGACTTATTGAGTCTGACCGCTACATATTTCTGTCATATTGATTCAGCTCTCGGCTAACTGCTTCAGTTGCCTATTAGCTCTTTGTGTCAGGAAACACTCTTCATTAACTACTGGTTGTCAAGAATTAGCACATTAGTTCAAAAATGTATGTTATCAAATTGTTATGTGTTTACGTATATTATTTTTTATGAAACAGTGTTTCATTTTTTAAAATCATGGACTTAGGAATATTCAGTGCTGAAAGCTTGGGGGGAAAAGAAAAAAGTGTGTGCTGGGTTATTTGCAAGAGAGGAAGTTTTCCTCATTTGAATCAAGAGTCTAAGAATAGAGGTTGTCATATGCTGTACAAATTGTAAAGACCCCAGAGGCAAACTTGTGATATTGGGCTACACAAATAAAAATTGAATTGACTATCAAGTCAAAATACATAAAAAATGCAAAGAGCTGTTAGTGTTGCTTCATTTTTGACAAAACGGGAGAATACACATTAACAGCTTAATTTATTTTGGATGCACCAGTTCTCTGCTGTTGGTCAGTAGCATAATTCTGTTTGTCAAATAGACCAAAAATAAACGCTTTTTCATCCCGCAGTTTTCATCCCCTCCCTTTGCTGTCCCTTCAGTTCAAGGACATGACATGTTTTTAATTGTCAGCCTCTGATTGACTGGCAACTTGTCTATAGTATAGTTCTGGTTACTCGTTTTGGTGATACATACAGGGGAGACATGTATCATGAGCATAAATGTTATAGTAATTTGGGGCTTTTAATGATTTCTTTGAACTATTTTTTTTTTCTAGGGTGGAAAAATTGTACATCTTACATCTTTATTGACTTTAAAAAACAAAAATCGGATTTGAATATCCAAATATATTCAAACCCAATTTTTTTTTTATCTTGGATCTGCAGATGGTCAGAAGTAAACATACAGACTCACATGTATACATACATTCACTTTAATGTTTTTAATGGTGCTAAAGGTTCTACGCTGTCCTTTAACTTGACAAAGCCTGTTCTCTAGTTCTCGTTAGTGATCATGATTGACTACAGCTGGTAGTTTCACATTGTGAGCCTGAATGGATTTGTTTGACAGCACTTTGGATTCACCAGTACACAAAACAATAAGGAAACCTAAGAAACTGAAGGTGTATGCTGCACTATCATTCCATCCTGCGAAAAGAAAAGTGCAAAGAAATCATAAAAACCTGTAAACTGTAAATAGATCTGCAGCACACAGCTATCCCTCTTGACCCCATCTCACATTATCCTGTGTGTTAAACACCTGGTTTTAACACACAGGGATTTATTTCACTCCCAGATGTTTGTAAAGGCTTTTCTGAGAGGCCCTGAAATATGTGTAGAGTTCACTCCACTAATTACTGATTGAAAAAGCAACTACACCTCAAGTTCAGTAATTTGCCCACTGGTGTGTAGGTCTGTTTGAGCACATTCCACCCCTCTCATATTTGTGGTCTGTCTAATCTCCCTGTGTTGGTATTGATGCTGCATCACAAACATGTTTGTCCAGCATCAACATTGCAACTGATCAGGCGTGTGATGTCATAGCTTTGCAATATGGAGGAAAAAGAATAAAAATGCAATTATTTATGTCAACATTATTATGAAGATGATGGAACAACACCAGCACAGAGATATAAAATCATGCTACATATTTGGGTGAGATGAAAAGATATCAGCTAACACTGCACACATACATATACCTGGTAATTAGTGCTAACACCAGTATAGATGGATAAAATACTACAATTTAGTGGCCAAAACTAAAGCAGAGACTTTCTAGGTGACCTGTGGTGGAAGAAGTCATGCTATTTGTCAGGTTCAGCGACTCTTATTTAGTATCAGTCTACAGTCACCTGTCACATGCATAATGAAGTCATGGATTATTAGGCTTGTAACAGATGAGTGCAGATGCACAAATGCATTTTTACTTACTTTGGTAAGTTAAAAGATTCATCTCCCTGACACTTGTGTTGAAGGAGGAAATTTTCTTAGTCTGCACATATGTGCATATGGTACACTTTTTATTATGTGGACATGCATTTAGGTATTTACCATCCATTCATTTTCAGGTTGCCTTACACATTCATCTTTCTTGCAGTGTGCTGCAGATAAACCGGCTTTTCCAGATGCAGCAGGCAATACTGCTATGACTGTCTTCACAAATAAATTCCCCCAACTTTTGGTATATGATGCTGAACTGATTCCACATGGAGAACAGAAACTCTCCAGAGAAAGTGTACCCACCAAACCAAAAGATTTAAACCCCACACCTTCACTGTGAGGTTCACTGCTTACATCTGCTCTGCAGTGTTCTCAGTAGCCGTGTACATGACATGTCAAATCTCTGAACTGTGAACTAAGGTCCTGCTTCCATTTTCATGAGGCCATGGTGATGAATAGAGAGGCACACAAGGTGATTTAACTTATACCCCGTGTATTGATCCCTGTGAGATGAAGGCAGTTTCAGATAATGGCCGTGGTCATTCAGGTGAGAGAAAAAGTAATTTATGACGGCTCCTCATCATAATGTACATGAGGAGAAATGATGGTGATGATGAAAACTCGTAACCCTGGTCTTACAGTTGATGCAGTAAAGGTGGATGGCTTCGATGTTGGAGGAAACTGATGATGTGTATGGCGGCGTCCCAGCGGAAGCAAAGGTGATATGAAAGGATAAGCGGACAATAATGCCGAGGATGATGATGGTGAATATGAATTCTGTGTATGTCTGTGTTTCAGGAAGTGGTGCTGAGCAGCCAGCCATCTGTTGGCAGATTAATCCTGGCTGTGCTTAGAGATATTACCGGCTGGCTTATCGCCGTGGCAACAAGCCTTCAATCCCAGTCCAGCACAGCCACCATGTGACCTTGCTGAGGAAGGTGGATGGGGGTTGGTCACACATGCACACACACAAATAGGCTCTCTCTCTCACACACGCGCACACACACACACACACACACACACACACACACACACACACACAGAAACATGCTACATACATGCAGGCATTGTATTTTTTGGATGCACTCTGCTGCATGTAGTGTGAAAAAAGCTCTGCACACATACACGCACCCTGTCCTTTCATCATAAAATCAGGTTTTAATCCTGCTGTCACCTATTGACTTCAGAAATATCATTACACCAGCCAGCTGTGCTGCACGCAGCTCTTCAAATATTGTTTTCTGTCTGCTATAAATAGACCTGTATAAATATGAATTGTGGCCACCTTTGTTCAGTTTCCTTCACACCACAGAAAGCTTCCCCCCCTAAATCTCATCATTCCCACGTGGTCACATATCCACCCACTCACGTTTTCTATACACACACACACGCACGCACACAACACATCGTTCAGAAAACGACCCGATCTGTAACACACAAATGGACGAATACGCTCGCTTATAGGTCATAAATCAGCAGGCTGGATGCCAGTTCAGGCTCGATGTAACATTCAAGGTTTTATTCAGTCTTTACATACAGTACACCAGTCAGAAATATACAGTGAACCTTCAACGAAGGTCCGTCACGTACATTGTAAAATCAGCAGTCAGAAACGACAGGTTCTCCGATCACGGTTACAAGTGTGAGCGTGTTTCAGCGTGTAGTCCATTGTTCATATGTTCAGTCCATGTTTTTTACATCTGGAGATGTCACAGATGACTGCAAAGGTTAAGCTTACAAATGATGATTGCCTAGGGCTACATTTTTTAAACTATATTCTCTATATTCTATATCTGTTATCCTTTAAATATTGATCACCACTAATGGATGCCAAATATTGGCCATGTTTGACATTGCTCCCCCATTCCCCTAAAACACAACAATTCTGGTTTCATCCCTCTCACTGTAACATCGGTTTAAAGACACAGCGTGGTCTGAGCTCATGAAATGCTGGTCTTAATCAGGAGGATGGAAAATAAGGGAGTGGAACTGATGTTCCACTTGTTCTGCACCTCCTTTTTTCCACTAACTGTAACAACCTGAAGCTTTCCAGGTAGTAATATCACATCAATGGCACTGTGACCACTGCTGTAGGTGGTGGCAGCACTGGTTAAATGCCATCCTGCCTGGATCTACCACTCAGTCTAATTAGATGAAGTAATTATAACTGAGAGGTGCATTCCTGAAACCTGAAATGGGTGTTATGCACCTTGTAGGGTGGCAGCACCAGCATCGCCCAGAGCTCAGAGGAGGAAGAGGGAACATTTTTGTTTCACAATAAAATGAAGCTGAACATCTGGTAAAGGAGTTTTTTAACTTTCATTTCCATTTAATTAAACTGAGTAAAAAGCTTTTCATTTGACACAAGTTGTCTAATTTTCAATTTAAATGCAAAAATGATTTTAATGCCTAACTGACGATACTATATTAATCTTGGGCTATGAGTGCACATTGTCCATGCCTAGTTTGAATTTCTTTTCTGTTTTCCATGGCTTTTCAATTTGTACTAAGAAGCCCTTGAGTGAATGAGAGGGGCATTTTTCAAAACTTGCTCAGAGGCCACTACTAGCCCTTAAAATTGGCTACATAATGGGATTAAGTTAATTTAAGGTCTTTCTGGCAGCAGAATAAAGAGTTATGTAGAAGTTCAATGAGCTCTGTGTGAATGAATGAAACAGCTCATTTACAGGCTGCGTTTCCTGAGGAATCAATTTGTTTGCTACTTTTCTGCATTGTAAAGTAAGTGGAGAGTTAGGGAAATGATGTCATCAGGCTGTATGCTTTTGCACACGTGGCCATCTGTTAGTAACAGTCAAGAGAAACGGCTTGATTTTTTTTAAGGAGACCTGCACTGATCTGTGGTACATTTGTGGGCAGTAGTGTGCTGGACATTAGGGAATGTGGCAATGTATCTGAAATCCAACCTCAGTAGCACCAACAGGTAAACAATCAGGCTTGAGGACAATTTTCATTGTTGGGCTTTACAGTACAAGGTTCGATCGAAAATGGAAGGTATGCTGACACGCATACTGTTTTTATAAAAGCAATCTTTTGTGTATTTGTACTAAAAAAAAGACTGGTGTAAAAGATCACCAGTTTTCTTTCCTGAATAGGTTGTCCGTAGGGAGCTTCACTGAGGAGTCAATCATCGAACTCTAAAACGCGGGAAACTGTAGGTCAGTTACACTTTGTGCTGGAGGCTAAACCCTGGAATGTTCTGACATCTAAATGGTGCCAGTCTTTTACCTGTACGTTCATATTCCTGTGTACCCTGTGGTTTTTACAGTACAACATTTGAGCGACTGGCTTACAAAGCTCAACTAATTATAAAGGTATATATCGGTGTGCAAATTTCTTGAACTAGAAGATTTACCGTATGCAGTGGTTTAGCCTTTTGGAAATTCAAATGGCTAAAATGTAATAGGTAGTTTTAACATCACTGAGTTGGTATACTCTGCCTGGCTCTGTAGTGTCTGAAAACTGGGTAAATTATATACACACTTGGCATCGAGACAAAATAGCTTCATTCCATATTTTGGACTTTAAAAAGCCTTTCTTTTAAGATTCTGTTGAAGAAAACATAGAAACATGCTTACTCTAGCAATTACACATGCATTTAAAATAAACAAAATCTTTGAAAATTAATTAAATTTTGCATATCACTTTGGCAAGGGAGGAAATATAACATATTTTCTGCTAGTCTTATATTTCAGAACTCTACCCTTGATTTTACACATATAGTTTTTTTTTGTTCCGTTACATAGAAAAAACATCTTTCTTTTTTTTTTTGATATGTCACTGCACGAAAAGAGCAACAGACAACAAAATGAACCCACACGTCAAAAAGAGAAGCAAATAAAAAAACAAAATAAATAAATTGCATATTTCATTTCACATTGACAAATAGAAAAGCAGACGGTGGAGAGTAGTGGACTGCTGGAAGAACTGAGGCCTGCTTTTACTTTTGGAACGTGATGGACCCACTGACTGGCTGCAAGTCGCTAATGAACTCTGGATAAATGTAAACCGAAGAAAACCAGGACACGTTTATGGCCTTCCACATCCTCACACTGCGTGCATGTTTGTGTTTCTGACCTGAATGAAACCAGACATAACGACAGAATCCAAGAGCTCTAAACTGAGCTCAAACTCCTCTTCCTACTTTTGCATTCGCTTGTTTTTGTAGCGGAATGAGTGTATGTTGAACATGCGTGCACGCCATTCAGTAAAAATAGTCCAGCACTGACCTGTGCTCTGCAGGGATTAGATCAGCGCTGTACTGTGCAGTGACTCTTCAGCCAGAGCTGCATATAGTACAGGACATTGGCTTGGCTTTTAAGCTCAAGGTCAGCATTTAAGCTTTCACTAGAAGTACACGCTCACAGTAAGTGAAGGCCAAGGGGTTGCTCAACCCTTAGGCATTCTGGCATGGCCTGTCAGCACATTTGTCCCTCCTAGTCCACGTAGTAAACTTCGCTGATTTCACCGAGTCCCATCGGCATCCTCAGAAGAGACTAAATCTGGGGATAATCACCTGTAAGAATCACAGAGATTATAAAAGTAAGAGTGAATGTAAAAATAGAGCTGCTGCTTAAGCTCAAAGGCCAACTGCAGATCTAGGGCCATTACTTAGCATCATGTCATATCCAGAGTATTTCCACTATAGCTTCAATATCATTTTGTGGCACTGATTTTTCTTTTTAAAATGATCAGTGATCATTTATATGTACTCTGCATGGTTTTTATGACTTAACATAAAATATAAGTTAAAGGCTGACTGTGTAGAAAATACAAGAAGCCACTGCACTGTAGAGCTCCGTAGGGGTGATCAGTTTGCAAATGCTCACTTGATACTCCTAAATGGCGAAAGCACAGAGTGTTGGTCTGTAACAATTACCTGTAAACTGATTATGGCCTCTGCAACAAGACTTAAACAGACAAATTGTGAGTTTGGCATGAACTGCTATGTTCTTGTGCCCTTGTCTCAGTCACCTGGGCCTCCTCCCCGCAGAGTTACAGGAGGAAATCATGCTGGTGGAACGAAAGTATACCCAACTGTCTCTATATCTGGTTCAGTAGGCACACAGTGTGTTCCCTCCATCTTTTGCATCATAAACTCGTGCATGTCTGTATGTGTCCAGAAATACAATCTTTTTCCCAGCGTGACTTCCTTCAGTCTGCCACTCTTTCACTCGTCTGCAATAATCAAGGTGCAACACTCTCTGTCATCTTTATCTTTTTCTGTTTCTTGCACATCATTCTCTTTTCTCTCACCATGCATGCATGCTGAAATCCAGTCAGGAAAGAAATGCAAAACGAAAGCCACTGAAATTAAAAAAACAAACAACCTACAACTGTCCCTAGAGAGCAACTACGATCAGTTACACAGCTTGATCATTCAAGAAACACCGCATTGTGTAAACATGCCTTTGTCTAATGGCTCATAGGCCTTAATTACCTGAAGCTGCGCAGCTGATTTTTGAAGAAAATCAAGGCTCTATAAAACACATAAAGGTGTAACTGCATTTTAAATTCAGATAAGTAACAAGAAGTGTTATTCTAAAGAGCTGCAAAAGAAGTTTGAAAAAATCAGCTGCACATCCTCAAAGCATTTTTTTATATCAAAGCTCACAAATCTCTCCCCTTCCTACACCGTGCATGTCATTAATCAGGACCTACAGTGACAAATGCTTCAAACTCAACTAAAATGAAAAGAAAAGACAGACAGTTTATACATAAAAAGTACAGCAACAAGATTTCCCAATCAACCCGCCCCATAAAGATAAATAAATCTATTTGGATATACTCTAAATGGATAAATAATATTACCATGACATACTCTATGTAACGTTTCAGCAATAATTAAATATCTCAAGGATGGCACCATCGCTTTCTCAAAAGAAGAAAAATCATTATTCATTGTGATGTGTTTTATGAAATCTGTTTAAAGTTGTAGTAAAGCGATCTCTTCTCAAGCTCTTTCGTTATCTTTCGCTCTTCTCTTTTTGTTTCATCTCTTAGCACACGAAAAAGCTGGAGGGAGTGGAGTTTGTGCTTTAGCAGAGACTGACGCTGTCTGGCCGATCATCCGTTTGTTCATTAGTTCCTCTCAGATGTTTACGCAGCAGGAGAGCAGCGAAGGTCACTGCTGTCGTTCGAAAAACCCCTCGGGTCTGTACAGTGGAGCAGAGCAAGAGTAAGGGATAGGGCAGAGAGGGGGGGGAGTGTTTATTGTACTCACTGTGTTTCTGTTAAAATCAACTTTTGCCAAGAGACTAAACATAAACATCGTCAGTCTTACTCTCTTGGTTTTGGCTTGTAACGGTGTTCCAGCAGAGGCATGACATGCTGTTGGGAGGCAGCGCTTTCTCTCTTGGCGTCGGTCTACCTCAAAATCTCAAGCAGGCAAAGAGAGGAAGCAAAAGAAAAACATTCTGTCTTCCCCCCCCTCCTTGGTTCATATGTTTTCCCAAAGTGTGACGTCTCCCTCCTGTTCTCCCTCACTCTCAAACTTGCCTTCATTCCCCAGAGTCTGTCACGGCTTTGACAGTTCTTCCGTTCCTCTTTTTAATAATGTTGCTGCTGCTCATCCTCCCTGTCCCATCCCCTATCCTGCCCCCCCTCCCATTTTTTTTCACTGAGGCTGACACAGTCCAGAAGAAAAGCACCATGGGATGCATCAAACAACCATGTCGCCTTCAAATATCCCCAGAGAACACAAAACAGCCTCTCATCTGTTTTCCTCCCTCTTCCCCTCTTACTCTCATCTCTAGATCAGCCCCGTGAGGATTTAATTCTCCGCATAAGAAACGAGAAGCAGAGAAGGTCGTTAGTTAAAAAAGACAGAAGTATAAAATGGCAGTTGGACTATCTCCTTATGAGATCAGCATGTCTTTATTATGTATGTTTGCAAAACGAAATTTGTTGTCCTCTTTGATGCTCTCTAATTTTCTTCCTTCTCAAGCCTCTGCTGACTTTCAGCGCCGCAGAGCCTGAGGTTTGGTCTTTTTTTTACATTCTGTTTCATTCTGTCATAGAGGAGAGGTCATCTTGTTTGACCTCCACACCATCTTCATTAAATTAAAATCAGAATTCGTTCATTCTCTCTGTTGCACATTCATCCCGCTCCCCCTCTGTTGTCTGTCTTCATCGTCAGACGTAGGCCGATTCGCTGGACTGTGTGCGTCCCAGGTTGGGTGGCTGAGACAGATGCGCCATGTCCTTCTTCCTGATTTCACAGATAGACTTCCTGCGGGCCTGGACGCCCCTGATGGCGGCCTTGATCTTGCGCCAGCCGAGATGATTGAGCTCAGCCAGATTGAGCACAACGCAAATGCCGCTCACGGCAAACATGAAGACCAGGAAAACCGTTTTTTCTGTGGGCCGGGACACGTAGCACTCCACCTCCTTGAGACACGGGTAGCGGTCGCACTCGAAAATCCCAGGCACGCTGAAGCCATAAAGGAAGTACTGGCCCGCTAAGAAGCCAATCTCTAGGGCGTTTCTGAACACCACCTGAATGATGTAAAAGCGGGAGATCCCTTCTTGACGGCGAACCTTGGAGCTCTTCCCGTGCGTGAGGCCCCGTGGGGCATTGGGGATCTCCTTCACCTCCAGACAGTCAGGTTCTTCCTTCCCTCCTCCACTATCCCCTCCGTGCTGAACTAGAATTCCATTTATGTTGCGGAGCTTCCGAGCCCCATCCCTTCCGCCGTAGTCCCTCTCCATTATTGGATAGAGAAAAGAGTAGCGCCGGTCTCTCTGCTTGGCTGACTGATGGACAGAGTAGGTGATAAAGCAGAGGCTGGGTGTGCACACCAGTATGATCTGGAAGACCCAGTAGCGGATGTGGGAAATGGGGAAGGCTTTGTCATAGCAAGCTTGGTTGCAGCCCGGCTGTAAAGTATTACAGATGAACATGGTCTGCTCATCCTCGTACACCGTCTCTCCGACGATGGCCACAATCAGAATACGGAAGATGACAACGACAGTCAGCAAGATCCTAAAAGACAAACAACACAGAGATAAATGGGGTTAATACAATATTTTCTTTTGGAGAATGCACTGAATAACAATACTGTGCATTTCATCTCACCATCTCACCTGGGTGTTATTTTTGACTCTGAGCTTGGTTTTATCCCACATACTAAACATGTAACCAAAACTGGATTTTATCATCTAAAAAATATAGCCAGAGTCCGCCCTATTCTCTCTCGGGCCAACACGGAGATGCTGATGCATGCTTTTATTACCAGTCGCATTGATTACTGTAATGCCCTGCTCTCTGGTCTTCCTAAGAAGAATATTTCAACTTTACAACTTTTGCAAAACTCGGCAGCTCGTGTGCTGACGAAGACCAGAGGGCGGGCCCACATTACACCGGTTTTAGAATCGCTGCACTGGCTCCCCGTGTGTTTCAGGATCAACTTTAAAGTTCTTTTATTGGTTTTTAAATGTCTTAATGGTCTTGGGCCTTCTTATCTCTCAGATCTGCTTTTACCATACGAACCCTCGCGGACCCTGAGGTCCTCTGGTACTGGCCTTTTAATTGTCCCTAAAGTCAGGACACATACTCACGGAGAGGCAGCTTTTCAGTGGTATGGTCCTCGTCTGTGGAACAGCCTGCCGGAGGAGCTCAGGGCCGCAGAGAACGTACATGTTTCTAACAACAGGCTCAAGACCACCTTTTTAATTTAGCTTTTACTTAACGTTTATTTATTTTATGCTTATTTATTCTATCCTGTTATTCTATTATTAATTTAGACTTTACCTAATATTTATTGATTTTATTCTTATTCATTTTTTAATCTTCTTACTCTATTTATATTTATATTGTATCCTGTTCTTATTTATTTTATCATTTTACCCTGTATATATCCTATTGCGTCATATCTCCAGTGTTTCCTCAGAGGGCGCTCTCTGCACCGGGGCTGTGATCGACCATGGCTGCTGGGTCTCTGGGGGTCCTCTCAGCCTGGCTGGGGGGCTCCTTGGCCTCCCTCCTGCTGTGTGCCCAGCCTGGAGGCTGCGGTCTGTGACCGGTTCCTGGTGCAGACGGCTCTCTGTTATAATGTTTCCTCACTTGGCTCATGCGAGCCCAGCCCAATTTTTACTCTTTAAGTGTGCGCATGTGTGTATGTGTGTGTGGTGGGGGGGGGGGGATATATGTGTATTCACATCATTTATGTTAATGAGAGTGTGGGGAGTGAGTTGGAGGGTGGGGTGGGCTGCTTTTAACTATGTAAAGCACTTTGTGCTACATTTTTTTTGTATGAAAAGTGCTTTATAAATAAAGATTGATTGATTGATTGATTGATTGATTGATTGATTGAGTTGTGTTCATCTACAAGAAAACGTCCCTATCAGAAAGGTGATAGAGGTGATGAGGGGATGAGATGTCCTCTCCCTAAAATACATCAGCATCTCTAGCTGGGTTATGGTAACCTCATTCCCTCCACCAGAAGTTATTTGTTTAATGAAATTATGTCCAGTCCTTTGAACAAAATGCTAGCAGGAAGTCAAAGTAACATTAGAGAGAAAACAGATGGCAGCTCACAGAGCTATTGTGACTGACTGGTACCATCATGTTTCTCTTTACTCGCATGTTAGGTGCATGGATACATTTTGCTGTACCATTTAACCCCGATATGAGCAAACTGATAAGAAGAATGTAGCTACATTTATTTTCTGGTCTTAACTAAGGGTTAGCTATCAGGGCTCTCTACTATAGAACCAGCTCCCAGTTTGGATTTGGACTTCCTTTATGATAAATCTTCCCATACTGCTTCTCTTGGTGATTGAACAATTCAATCAACTCTTTCCACTCCCTTGTGTTTATACACCAGTGTTATATTTCATCGTTAGTTATGGAAAAAACTCTTTCTCCCATAGCGTGTCTTTTGTCATATCTTCCTCCGCTCAACCTGAACCAGTCGTGGCAGATGGCTGCCCCTCCTCTGAGGTTTCTTCCCCTTAAAAGGGAGTTTTTCCTTCTCACTCTCACCAAGTGCTTTCTCATAGGAGTTGTATGATTATTGGGGTTACCTTCCAATATTGTAGGGCCTTTGCCTAAAAAGTATAAACTGCCTTAAGAGGACTGTTAGTGTGAATTGGTGATATATAAATATGACTGAATTGAACTGAAGGGTTCCGAACTGTCAATGGCTGACTCATTATTAGGAAAACAAAGCTATAAAGACCAAAGGGCAATAGAAATGACCTTATTAAGGCTACAAAGTTAAGCAAGGTGACTTGACGCTGAAATCAAAGCACGGGCTTTAAGGACGAAAGCCGAAAAGAAAAGGGAAAACCTGTATTAACGAGAGAGAGAGAGAGAGAGAGAGAGGCATTGTGTCACTGTTAAGTCACTGTTCCCCCGGATAAGAACCAGAGAAGAAGAGTGCTCCAAATGTCATTTATCAGCCAGAGTAAACACTCCAGAAGAAAAACATTTATGTGCAGAGCATTGCTAACGCTACTCGTCAGTCCTCATAAGTCAACCTGCTACCTGTATCTTACAAACAGAGTATGTGTGTTTTGTGAAGAGGGGAAGCAGCGATGACATATCCACATCTAAATTTAGTCTCTCTTTTCTTTGCATCTTTAGGCCCAGCTAGCATAGCAACCACAGTTTAGACTCACTTAAGTTGGAAATGTGATTAATCTTGGTAATATCCAAGCACCATCTCTGTGTTGTTGGCTTTCTTGTTAACAATACACCCTCTTTCCTTTTAGTTCCATAGCAACAGGTGAGAAGGAGGTGAGCTTTGTTTGCAGATTTGGTGCTATTCCTGTGTGTGGTGTGGTGAGACAGAGATTATTGCTCCTGAAATGGGTTCACATCAACTCAGCCTCGGTGTAGGTGTGCCTCGTTATTCGCGTCTATCCGGGCATTTGCTTGCATGTGATGACTTGGCATATCTGTACACTTTGTGAGTCTGTGTGCCTCCATTATGTTAGACACACATATTAGGTAAACTGGATTCTTATATTCCTCTCTACTTTCTTTCTTGCCAACATCTTTTTCTTTGTTCTGTTCTTACTTTAGGCATCCTTCATTTATTTTTCAGATCTTAGACCGAGCAAGCACTTTAGATAGCAAGCTTTTTGCACGCTCCATGAGCCGATGGCTGTCTGGCACTGTATTCTGCGACCATACTTGTCTAAAACAAGATTGTGCACCGCAGACAGGCTCAGCAATATTGTTAGTGTGTTGATCGATTGTTGCATTACTGTTCAATCCCTTAAATACGAGGTTTGAATTCTGTGTAAGATGTGCTCTCACCAATCACCAATGTTTAGATAAATGAAAGTGTCATAAATAAGAATCGCTGTCGTTGCTTCACATGAACCCAGAGGACACGCCATTCACTGGCTCATCAAAACCTGACCTCATTACATTTATCATGGACTTATGGGTTTTGTGCATGTGCGAGTCATTAGATTTTGACATATAAAAATAGCCATGGAGTTAGTGCTAACAGGCATTACAGTATGATGAATGAAGAGAAGCTCATTCTTGAAAAAGAGCTTCACAACAGACAGTTGGAGTGTTTTGGGTGTAATTTAGACAGCAGTAGTGAATGATACACTTCCCAATTTTACATGTTAGTGTTATTTTTGCAGTTGTGTTTGCATTCATTTAAATATGTTGGTAATATTGCATATATTACATAATGCAAGCCACTAAAAAGGGGGCAAGACTTGAGGCTCCTAGGTGCTGCTCCTTGATCAGAAGAATCCTTTTTTAAGCCTAAAACATTATGTATATATACTTTAACAGGTGTCTGACACAAGGAGCTATACCTGTTTGCTCTGTTTGGTCTCATCTCTGATACTGACAGTCACCAAACTGGATTTCTCCACTGTGTTGTGTTTGGAGCATTTTCATAGAATTGCCTGACAAATAATGGGGCTTCCTGTGTGGTAGCCCCATTACTTCATTTTGCAAGTAAAATTTTAGTATTTTTTTATTAGCCTGCACTAATTACCAGATTTGTGTCTGCTTCTGGCAGCCTTACACCTTAAGAATGCAGCTTACTAGTACTTGCTTAGCACTCAACTCTCTTGTCCGATTATTATCCCAGAATGCATCCAAAACCATCAGATGATGCGATGGTGGCTATATACATCTTTTAGACACAGCCAGTGTTACTATAATACATCACTATTTGTTCATTGCTGATCCATTTATCAAATCAGTTTCTGTTTAACAGTAAAATCTAACTTTTGTGAAACAAAACAGTTTCAGCATTTCATCAACTCAGTATGTAAAAGGTAAAGTACAAAGCTTTCTCAGATTTATCATATCAATTAGAGGATTTGTTTATCTGGACACTGTTGGGAGTGGACTGTGAATCCAGGGGGAGACCCATGGTGCTGCACCTGAGACCCTGCCAGATAATCATTAGATGGCATTTGGCTGTGTGAACGGTAATCTACCAATCGCACAGTGGCTTCGCCAGTCTTGCGTGGCGCAGATGTGGAGTTGAAGGGCAGAGTTAATCCTTTCCAGAGTCCAGCGGCATGCAGCTCACATGTAACTCCTATCAAAACGACAGGTCACCAGTGATGGCTTCCAAAATGAAAAATAAAAGACTCACTGCCAATCCTTTCACCTGTGATCAGCAGCAGGGAGAGAGGAATGTCGGAGCAAGGGGGAAAGGAATAGATGCAAAAAAAACCCCAAAAATAATAAGCGCTTCCATTAAGGAGCTTAGTAAGCAGGGAATTCACAATACAATGGTGGAGAGTGTATAGCAGTAATTGTGCGCACACAAACACACATATACTGTAGCAGAGGAACGTCCAAACGGGGACGGGAAACTGTTGAGTGAGCGCTAACAGAAGACATCAGCTTTCTGTTGAAGATGAATGAGTTCCAGACAGGGATAAAAGATTATAAAGTCACCAAAAACGCAGTGGCTCAGACATCTTCAACTTAAATTAAAAGAGGTATGTGCCAGTAGTGTGACGGCGTGCGAGAGATAGAGAGGGGTTAGT